GTCAGCAAACGCCCTGCAACGCTTGCACCCAATGCGCGCCTTCCGGCGCTTGGAGCACCCATACTCTGTCACCTGCCAGACGCTGCAAAAGGCCGTTCTAACAAGTAGTAGGCATTGAACCAGAATCATTAATAGACACACGAACCAGCGCTCAGAGCGCTCCTAAACTAGACCAGCGCTACTAAACTAGACACACGAACCAGCGGGCTCAAAGCGCTCTACAATGTCAGCGCTACTAAACACGAACCAGCCTCACAGCGCTCTACAACCACCGACCCTAGCTACCAACAAAAAATTGTTGTAAAAACTATACCAGTTGGTCTGACAATTTAAGCAGGTTACACCAGGCCCACTTTCAGGAGGAGGTGGCGGGCGGCGGTCTGCGTCATCAGAAGCCGCGCCAGCTGCAGCTGCAGGAGGCGGACCTGGACTTGGCGCAACCAACCCTGCATCGTCGCAAGGTGCGTGCTCCGTGGCACCTGGGCGGCGCAAAACGGAAGGCGCCGCTGCTGGCCGCTTTTTCGGGCCACCTCCATCAGCAGCTGGCCGCTTCCTGGCAGAAGCCTTCTTCGAAGCGCCCTTCCTGCCAGGTGGACCAACTTGCACATGCCGGGGTTCTGGGTCATCTGGTATGTAAAAGTCTTCAAAGTCTGGCGCCAAACAGTGGTCAGTGCACTCCCCTTGCTGGAAAATCATGTGCAGCTTGGGAGGTGGGTGTTGCCTCCCTGCGACATTGTCATCGCAAAGGTCTTCCAACCACTTCTGAGCTTCAAAAAGCCTCCATGGTTCCTGGGCTGCCGCTTTCGCAGTTTTGCGGTATTCTTGCAGCAGCTTCTCTGGAAAAACCTTGCGCTCTGCCACTGGCAAATCATCAGGGTCCAACTGGCGATGGAGGTGAGCCGGAAGCATGAGCTGGGGTGGCTGAGATGGAGATGCGCTGCTCATAAACCTGAAGGGGCACTTGACGAACTATTCGTCTCCCACCTGTCTTAAACTAGAAAAAAAGTTGTTACCCTCACGCTTTTACATTTCAAAATTGAAAGCAACTTGGCGGTTTTGCATGTCGCGCCTCTTCACAGTAAGCACCACATCTTCACCGTCCTGGGGTAGATCTGCCCACTTGGGGTTGTTGCACTCTACGATGGCATGCGCATCGATGGTGCGCCTCAACTGGAAGCGCCAGACATGGTTCACGTCTGGCTCGAGGTGCGTGGAAGTCAGGCCAGACATCTGAACTTCCCATTTTTCGAACCAGGCTTGGAAATCATGGGTGGAGTTGAGAACCTGGACGTGCAACTCCTGAGCATGGAGAGGCGTCGCTCCATCCTTCAGAAATTCTGCGAACTGCTGAGGCGTCTCAAGGGTTGGCGCTCGCTGCAAAATGGTGGAGAGGCTGGAAAACCGCTGGTCCAGCTCATTCTTCGTATGTCCCGGCTGCATAAACTCGAGCTGTACGCTGTCGAAATGCCCCCGACACACCAGAAACGAACAGTATGTGGCGAAGAACTTGTTCTTAGACTCCCTTGGAGTGTTGTCTGCTCCAATCACAAGATGGCGTGGGAGGCAAGTATCCGGCCCTCGGGCAGACAAGGCACAGATGACTTTGTCAAGCATATCTGAAATGCATGTCGCATTCATGTTGCTGTCCTTCTTGCAATCAGGAAGTAATATGTAGTAGGCCTCACAGACACCCAAGGCAACGCAGCCCGTCATGTGTAAGGCTGGGCGTGAACAAGCGCTGAAAGTAGCGGAAGCACTGAGATTGCGAGGGCATCGGTACTTAGCTTGATCCATTCCATCAATCAGGATCTTGATAGCCGAGCTGCTGGCATGCTGTGGAGTGTAGGTGCTTTCAAGGGCAGAGAGCCGGTTTCCCCGAACATTGACCGAGCGGTCAGCATCGCACCGGTCCACATGCCGCTGTTTCTGGGCGTCTATCTCCTGCCGCTCCAGCTTGGTCAAGCAATGTTTCCTGCTTTCGTCAAAGTCTGCGCACACATTGCATCTGACTCCTTGTCCTTCTCCTTTAAAAAGGAGGAACTTCTTCCAGTTGCGCTGAAAAGCCTTCCGGAACGTGTCTCGGCTGACATGGGCCTGGTCCAGGTGCTGCGTCGCGTGCCAAAGAGAGTTCACATCCGACTGGTTTAGGTACCTTTTGGGAACTGTGTGGCCATCAGAGCCTAGGCCCACCGACAAGGCATACAAGGGGTGGTTAATGTCGTTCACCACTTCATGTTGGTTGGCCAAATCTGGCAGCTCCTCCACATGCTGATATCCACCGTCATCGCGCTCCATAGGCGTGGGCTCAGCCAACCCCTGGTAAATCTGGAGGAACCACACGTCAACTTCATCAGTCTTTGGTTTGGAGCGAGGGAGTCGAGCACCTTTCTCTGGCAAAGCGGCGTGGCCATTCTTGGCCAGCTTGACCCACTCATCCATGACACTGTGGCCAACTGCACACTTTTTGGCCGCCAATGGCCCAAGCAATCCTGCTGGTCTTGTCTGGCAGTTCATCGACAAATCTCTTCACCTTGTTGAAAGTCTGTTGCTGGCGGCGAGTCAAGTCCTTCAACTGTTCACTACGAAAGACCTCCACACTAGCCTCATCAAATTTCACATGGCAAGACAGTTTGCAATTGCAATGGCTTGTCAAACCTGAAGGGCGATCGTCGTCCACATCCGGAGGCAACTCCACGTCTGAATCACCAGCGCTTGCGTCGTCAAGCGCCTTGCAATGTGAAGCTGCAATCAGAAAACCCTCGCAATGAAACAAATCTGAACCACCAAAACAAGAAAAACGATACGCATCATCTTTCTTAGACAGCGTGCCTCCTCAGATGCCACATCTGATGGCAAGCTCAAATCGCTGGACATTGGAGTGCAATGGAGGGGCGTTACAGCCAACAACTGGTTGCGAATGACGTGGCATAGACTCTACACAAATGAGATGACCTGGTTTCTGTCACTGTTTTGCGGACGATCCAAATCATGCCTGAGGCCAAGTCCAAGTCTGAATGGTTGCCACCACATCAAAAAGTGCTTCAAGAAACGTCCCACAGCAGCTCTACAGCAGAACTAGATGGAATTTTTTGAGTCCTTTCACAAAGCGAGCCGCAGGCGTCTCAGATGCCAAACAAACACATCGCATGTAATTTCAATCAACTGCAACGGCAAAATAAACGCTACACTGCTTTCTTTCAAAGCGCCACGTTGAATCACCAACAGGCTCTGATTGCCCAAAGCCACTTCTAAGGACCTAGGATTGAGCAGAAGAGTTTATACCTCCTGAGAATAGTAAGGGCTGTCTGGGTCATTCTCAAGACCAATGATGCCCAAGCGGATGTCGTCCAAAATACTATAGCACGCCACATGGATGTCTGAGAGCAGCCCGTCCACACCAAACAGGACCTGGTACTTCCTCAAAAGTTGCCACGGCGCTGCCCAAATCCTTCCGGAGGGCTGCCAACCTGCGCGCGGTGTAACCAGCATAGTAGAGGCGATCCAGCAAAGGACTAGACCTCACCCACTCAGGCCCTAGATCCATTGGCGGGTCATTTGACATGGACAAGCGCGCACCATGACGGCCAAGAGCTGCATTTTGCGCAGTGCCATTTTTTGGGCAAAGCATCCAACCAGCTTCTCACACTGCACGCAGCATTCCTTGACAAGTTCGAAGGTGTGGTCCGCAAAAAAGTCGAACTCTTCCCGGGACCATTCCAACATTGGCTTCAGGAAGAGAGGCAGGAGCTCTTGCTGCTGAGGTGGGGCCCACACCAGAACAAAAGACGGTTCGCCCTCACAAAGCTCTTCGCAAGCCATGTCTGCTTGCAAACAAGACCGTCCTCTTTTCGAGCCTTCTCAGAGCCAGCTAATGAAACGCACAGGGCGACCAAATAGCAGCACAGTGACAACGAGAGCATGTAAAGTTGATCCGCAAAAACGTTGAGCGCCCCTAAGGTCGCTTCTAGTTGACTACTGTACTCTATGTATGTGCGCTGTATAATTGACAATCAACCGGTTGACTGAACGCTGAATGCTGGAAGCTTAACGCAAAGAAATTCAACCTGACTGACGTGTGCGCGTGTGTGCAGTGAGTGTGTGTGGGTGGGTGAATTTGGTGTGTACCACATGAAAACAATACGACGCAGAATATTTATTTCTTCATACTTTTCCCGGGCTGCTGGGCAAGACGCGCACCTCAATGCGTTTGTCAAAAAATTACAATTAATTAAGTAACTAAGGTTGTGTTGTATGTGCTACATACTGCGTGGAATCTTACTGTTCTCCAAAAAGAAAAGAAAATTTTCAAACTTCCTACGCTGAAACTAAAACTTCTATCTGACCTGGCTGGCGCTCCCTATGGCACGCCCGTCCGCGCGTGCCCAGACTACTAGGCTGCTATATAGTTAATTTATCCCTGTGGCAGGCAGCTTGACCTAGTCTCTCTGCGTGGTGCGCAGGTCCGTGCGTGCCAAGACTGACCGGGCATTCTCCATACCAAGGATAAGTGCGCAGAAAGGAGACTTCCACTCACCTCTCTGACTCAGTGATGGAGTTCTATGCTGACACCTATTCT